GTGGGGAGGGGGAATACTGGGACTGGATTCCTCGGTAAAGTTACTCATCAAGCACCCTTTTTTTGATATCACACTGCCTGGACAGTACTGACACTGCAATAGTGTGGCAAGCATTCCTTCAGCCTCATAACCCCTCAATACTCGTATGATATTAAATTTCGGTTGCCTTCGTTCAACTTATTTCTGGCTGAATACCGGTACTGAATTTTGCCACGATTGTCCGCGGTCCAGCAATAGACCACTCGCACAGTGCTTGCCGGTTCGTGGGGTACCTGGGCACTTTGCGCTGTCGTGGGTGTCGATCTGTGCCTGGATACTTTGTGGATTGGCGAGTACTGTACGAGTAGGGCATTGGCGGGGTCGGGAAACAGCCCATGCATCCCGGTCACCACATTAGAGGGAATAATAGATTGAAGACTCATGGGTATCATACAATACTCGAGTACGGGTAGCCAATTTGATTTTTCATGAAAGTATTGCCAATCTAGCGGGGGTATTGAGTGTAACAGCATGTTCTCGTGATCCCTCACCAATATTGTTCTGGGACCATTTCTATTATATATAGCATGCTATCTATCGCCCAATGGGTGTTCTGGTCCCGAGTCACAAAAAAAATATGTGCCCGATCGAATCGAATGGTCAGGGGCATGCATATTTGTGGAGATGAGGACAACAGTTCAATCCGGCGTTGATATTACCGTATTGTGGTCAAAAACAATACTGTGCTTTTAACTAATCATCTGCCCACACACCGTATAGGCCGTGAGAGAGGTCAGATGAACATTAAGCCGCAGGAGGGGACACCAACAATGGGAACCAAACCATAAGCAAGAGATGTGCCCGAGTCGGGAGCGAGAGGGTTCGGTTGGGTTCGGACTCGGATGGATGGTCTTTTGAGCATTCCAGCCCGTAGGCATCGTACGCGCGAAGCAAATGCGGGGGAAGTAAAAGAAAGACCTAACAGCACATTTCCCAGCACTGATTTTCCATCATAGCCTGACACGTGTTGGGTGTTGTTGTTTTTTGTCGTCAGAGAGAAAATCACCCTGCTCTACTGAGACAAGGGAACCTTCCACTGTAAGAGAGAAACGAACCTTCTTGGGAGAAATGTGTGCCGCCGCCGTCAAGGCCGAGATCACGAGGGTTGGGGCGACAAAAACAAGCAAAAGATCGTCTGATTCGCATGGCATGATACCATGGGGTGTATAGATGCGGGGAAGCGGCTCTGAATTTGTAATACTCTAAATGGTCGTTCGTCCAACGGCTGGGTCTTACCGGGGTACCGTACTCCAGCTCTAAACTGTACTAGTACGAGTACTGTGCCGGTATTGTTGGCGCACCGCAAGAAGCAAACATCCTGCTTTAAGATGTTGGGCTGCATTGACTCCTCGTAGGGGAGCCTCAATTTTCTTTGGCGGCATAGCATCAAGCCAGTTCGTTGCCAAAAATAGCTTCGGGAAATTTGATATTTTTTTCCCCGGGCACCCTCGAGACGCTCATGAAGGATGTTAAAAGATTTTTTTCTCCTTGGAGCAGTCTGTGTGTGACCGTCTACACCGGGATATGTACTTTCGAGAGTCATGTCCGGGGGGGGGGGTGGATGGCCCCTCCTGAGATCACCCAGGCTCACTCGTACTCCATGCGAGCGATCAGTAAGATGAGTTCAGATCGGATCACAATCCGCAAAGTAACTCGCATGTACTCTACAGGTACGATGTAGTACGGTACAGTACTTTAACATCCCAAACATTAATTCATCTTATCCTAGCTATACACCCGTGTTATTGGGGCGTTGACATACTTAACGAGTCGTAAGGGTTTTCTTTCTGGCAATAACATGCCTACCTCGTGCCTAGTCTTCTAAAATGGCCTTTGTTCACGTGGGCAAATGAAAGGTTTGGCGGGGACTTGGCCTGGGCGGTTGCTAAGCCGGTTGCTAAGCCGGTTGCGATACAATGTACTTGTATTACGGTTCCTTACCACCAACTGGTGGACCCTACTCGGAGTACCGTATCACACATATCATAAGCTCCCCGGTGGACTGGCTCTTTGGCAGAAGCCGCGCCAGTTACTCCCGGAGAGCCAAAAGAAGTATCCTGCCGGGTCTAGGCCCCAAAATCCTGGTACCTGTTTCTCTGAACCAGCGTTTATTTCTTTCGTGGCACTCGTGAAATCTCGCTCTATTACAAGTGCCGGTATCATAATCTCTATCTATCTGACGTTATCTCACACTCAAGGTGGACTCATTTGAGCCGGAATTGATCTGGTGTCGCTGGGGGTCCGCACGTCCAGGGATCCAAATATCTGGGTCACCTCACACTCAATAGCATTTGTGCCCGTATAAGTAACTCTTGCGGTGTTTGGCACGGCTTGATGGGAGATTAACTAATATGGGGAAGACAGTTTGGTTCCATCCACTCGAGTGCACGGTGATATGCTTCACCTCGTTCAATCTTAATGAGCCAAGACTGTCCCCAAAGCTGACGCGACAGCCTCTTCGCATAGGGCACATTTAACTTGAGACCGTTAGATGCGATAGGGGACAGATCTCCCTGGATCAAGTTCGGCGATTCTATCGGCTCCTGTTTTTCCGACAGCACGGCTTAAAAAACATTACTTCCTTGTGGATCACTTTGTTCAATTGTCCGCAGGGGATTATCTGGTTCAAAGTCTCACTCACTACTTTAGCTGCGCAATGCTGGTGCGATTGTTGGAGTGTGGGCACTGGTGTTGTCCTAGAATGGACACAAAGTTACCTGAAATTACCCGCCACGGCGAATCATTAGGTTATATAGGTCGTGTGGTGGGTTGGCGTGATTGCAGGAGTAGAGTGCCGTGATACAATGAACCTTTTCACCTTCCAGGTCTTTTTTCTATAATGGCCTTTTTTTTTTCCCTCTACGGATCCAGATATGAGATTGTATCCGGACATCGGCCCACCCCGTTTATAAAATTTTCGAACGACACAGGCTAGTTTATTCGTCTATTGTGCGGAGAGTTTTTCTTCTTCCTCCAATTCCCCGGTTACAATGGGGATGCCTGTTCTCGGCTGTGGGGGTAATGGTGAACTTTTTTTTTTTTTTTTTTTTGTTATACGGAGACGGCGACACAGGTTTCTTCTAAAAAAACATCCTCAGAAACATCTTTGATCACCTAGCACTCTTACAATTAGTTCATAACCATTTGCAATCAGCAATCACCAGAGAGAGACAAAGGGGGAAGGCTTGTGTTGACTTATTTTCTTCAACTGGGCCTTTTTTTAATTTTTATTTATTTTACCGGGACATCTCATCCAGGCGACATCCTTCGTCTCTACTTTGTATCAGAATCAGTTTTGTGGTGGTGGTGGAGGCCAGGAATCAATCTGACGCTTACTTCCCCGGCATTCTTACTCAAGGTTTAACCCCACAATTGTTCCCATCACCTCCCCCTTCATCATCTCTACCACGTGGTTACGCCCTACCGTACCTTACTGCACCACACAAACCTCTCCATCGTTCCCTTGCCACCCCCCCTTTCCCCCGCCCGACCTAAGCGCCGCTATGATACAAGTACGATTTACTCGTACGATAACTAAACTCCAATGAGTCCAATCTCACGCCTCGTGGGGGTTTCCTTCCTTCTAGAACGCGCTGACATGCCGGTCATCACATTACCTTGGGTATCATATCTCTTACCATAGAGTAAGACATCGGGGGTAGGGCTACCGGTAGGGCCATGGGGGGTGGGTTGTTAATTCGACTTTATCGACTTTAGTTACATTACCAAGCGACTTCCTCCCCGATGCCTTTCTATCTATCTATGATATGATACCACGATGTGCCATATTCTATATTATCGGCTTTCCTCCACTTCTGATCATACAGTACCGGTACAGCACTTTACATACATACCCTATCCATCCTTGTTGCACTGTATTGTATTGCACTGTCACCGTGACCATTAACTATCATATTACTGTTACCGCACACAGCGTAACAATCCACCGTAAGACCCGAAAAATCCGTTTTTTTCTTCTTCCGCCCGGAAATTGCCCTGGACGGGGGGGGGGGTTGGTTAGATTCGGGCATCATTATCATAAGTTAATTTATATGTGAATTAAAAAAAAAAAGGAAGAGAGAGAGAGGGAGAGGTGATACGATATGATACAAGTACTGAAAGTGCAATACAACTCTGAGTACTGTATTATTATTTTTTTTTACCAAAAGAGGCAAAAATCCCCTTTATATAATTCCTCGGGGGGGTATCCATCTACAGGGTTTCTTTTTCTTTTCTGCCTTTCTCACATGGCTTTAACCATATTGTGTGTGGGGGGGGGGGACTTTACCGAGTTTGCTTGCTCGCTCGATCGTCGGGAGCGAGTGATTCTCGGTGGAGGGGTCAGGGGAAGATGCGGTATCATAATAATCCCCGTGAACTGCGTTTTCGGTATTATGCTAAATGAGAATGCCACTTGATTGGTGGGCACGGAAAGGGAGGTGGTTATCTTTCCACTGTTGCTGATGGGATGTGCGTGACGTGACGTTGGGTATCACTCGTAGTATGATAGCATGTCTTGCTCTGGGGGGATTAGGAGCGGGGTATGATATCCTGTTTTCGATATTTGGAGGATAAGGAGGGGGTGGGTAGAGCTATGCTGGGAGCTCCGGAGGTGTGGGAAATCTTGTTTAAGCCCGGAAAAGGAGGGGGGGGGGAAGGATGGTGTCGTGAATTGGGTTATCATCTGGGGGTAAAAGTTTGCTGGTGGGGGAGGGAGGAGTGTCTTGGGTGGGTTAAACGTGTCCGTTAAGTACGTGAGGGCCCTCCTGGATTTTGTGCCGCGACGGGTGGGCATCTATCTCGGCACAACCTCTGGTAGGCGGGATGATGATATCTGATAGGTTAAGTAGATAATGTTCGAGTGAGACCGTGTGATTATCTACCAGCTGGAGAAACCGATATTTTCTTGGGATCGGAAATCGAACCAACTAGAGAGCGGAAAATAAAAGTGAACCTATCCATAAGATTCCAAACCTAAACTAACTTTGGTATGTATGCTGGGATTGTCATAAACTCCATTAGAGCAGCCTCATCCATATAACTGCTACAGAACAGTTTAAACTATTAAATAACGGTATAACCACCGTCAACCCTTAGATCCGCCCCAGTAATGTGATTACTTGCTTCGCTGGCTAAGAATACAACCGCACCCATCAAGTCCTCCGGATTGCCCATCCTCCCTTGAGGAATCAAGCTTACCCACTTAGCTTTCAAATCCGGGTTATCGTCCAAAATTTTCTTCGTCCTACTAACCATTAGTACACAATCCCCTCCATGAGAGGAAGAGGGGCATATACAAATCAGTGAGCATATACCCCGGCGAGATACAATTAACCCTAATCCCATGCGCCGCCCACTCAACGGCCAGACTACTAGCCAAATGTCTAACAGCGGCTTTCGAAGCATTATACGGTGCTTGCGGCTGCGGCACGTTCACGATACTCCCACTCATGCTCCCAATGAAGACCATGCTACCGGGGCGCTTCCGTTCAATCATGTGCTTTGCGACCTCCGCGGCGCAGAGGTACGTTCCGTCGACATTCACACCCCAGAGCTTCTGCATGCGGTCGTGCGGGTACTCCTCCGCTTTGAAGTTCTCGGTGAAGCCGGCGGAGGTTACGAGGACGTCTATCTGCGAGTTGTGCTGTGTGAGGATCTCCGAGATGGTGGAGCGGACGGAGGTTGGGGAGGAGACGTCGGATGTGTGGGCGGTTATTGTTGGGGAGCTGTGGGGAGGGTGAGTGTCAGTGGGAAGGGGGGAGGGTAAGGAGGGGGGTGCTAACCGTTCGGCATCGGGGTTCTCACTCTTGAAATGCTCTAGGAGGGTTTTGGCGGACTTTGCTGCCCCCTCACCTATCCACATACCACCACCGCTAGGTTAGATCGCCTCCCCTCGCTTCAATCTCTAAAAGAGAAGGACGCAAACCGTTCAGGTCCATAATTGCAGCATCAGCTCCAGACTCAACAAGTGCCTGCGTCATCACATACCCCAATCTACACATCAATCCCCACCGTAACCATTAGCTATCGTTACCCACCCCCAATTCCCTCCATCAGAGAGAAACAGTGGGAGAAAACAAACCCTCTAGCGCCCCCAGTAACTACCGCGACCTTCCCTTCTAGAGAGAAACTCTTTAGTGTCCGCTTATGCCTGCGCACAGGTTTACTCGACGCCGTATCCCCCATGCTAGGGCACTTCACGGTGATGGACGGATCTGTGCGAACGAATTGTCCGGGTCTAATCTCACCATCGTCGCTTCGTAGGGGGCAGGTTGTTGAGACTGAACGTGCTGTTGGCCTTGGGATAATGGCGTTGCTGGGTCCTTGTAGAGCTCTCGCTCGGCGGAGGAGAGACGCCAATCTGAACATTGTGTCGCACGATTGGTGTGGAGAGGGGATAGGGGAGGATGTGTATGATGGAAGGTTTATATTGTTGTGGGTACTGTAGACGTCGGAATAATACCTTCCGTGTGAAGAAAGGGGTAGGCAAATTCGGCTAAGAGGGTGTTTGATATCGTGATGTTGGGCCTGTTGTTTATACCCCGTTGCCCCTCACGCGATTGCACATTTACAGTTTGTGTGATCCTTTGTATCGCTCCCCCCCCCTGGCAGGGTTGCCGTATCCCACTGCCATATCCCACGCTCCGTATCACATTACTCATATGAAGATCTCAGTCAGGGCCAGGGTTCTAGAATGCATTTCCACTTGTTCATTCAGCTTCCTACAAAAGCATGAGGAGATACCGGTAGGGGATAGCCGTGGTTGGGAGCCGGGTTTCCTAAGAAATTATTCCTGGTAGCGAGAGGGTCAAGTTGGTTAATTGACCTTGCTTGCTTAGCTGGAAGTCAAGTCGTGAAGAGTATGATACCGGAAGGTTACCGGTAGGATCTGATAAGTCACGATACCAATGGTATCATACTGGTACCCCGAGTGCGGTAACTTATGGCCCAATCCCGCAGTACTTGGTCCGTGTGCGGTGCGGTAGCTCGTTTTCGGTCCCCGAAGCAAGGAAGGATGGAAGGATTGGCTTAATTCCTAATGTAGACTTTACTCAACCTAAGCCCGATGGGACTACCGTAGTTGGCTATCTTGATGATCTGGATCCTTAGGTTTTTTCTTCCTCTTAATCTATTTTTTTCCCTGGTCTTTTTATGAGTTGGTGGTGGAAGGTTCAATATTCAGCAGAATACTGCTGCCTCGGGTTTTTCACTCTAGCAAACGGTAGAACATTCTCGCTCTAGCGCGCCGGTGTCAATATTTATTCTGGCACCGCAGACCCGGCATACGGTGTCGTGGTTTACTGTGCACCAGTAGACAAAGCAGGGAACATATGTGCATCCGCAGCACAGGCCCCCCCCTCCGCCTTTGATATGATCACTATGCTCGAGTATTATAATGGTTCATTTATTTCGGCCTCGTTGTTATTCCGTTGGGATGAGTCACCGAATCCGGAAATCGGGCTTCAGGAGGCGCATATTTCTTGGGGGCCTAAATATGAGCCTTGAGCGGGGGCGGGGAGTGGTGAGTCTTGCACAACATCGGCCGCCTGCCAGGGAGCTAGGATACCGTAACACCACAGATAAGTCATGATATGAGGTGCTCTCCTGGATGCTGTCTCAAAGAGAGAAAGCTTAAGTTTGAGGTCTTTATTTGGGTAGATGGGGTGGGTTGGTTGGCACAAGTACCACCAGAAAGCCAAGGCTCCAAATTGCACCTAAGTTTTGTTTGATACTGTGAATTTATTGTACTTTGTGGCAACATGCTGGAGCAGGCGCCCTAGAAAAAAAAAATCCGGCCAGTTTATGTGGGACACTCACTCCTGCTCCAACACTCATCCCCCTCCAGGCACGTTATCCCATTTGTCCCAGATTCAAAACACTCCGGACTGACGGCAATTCGGGAGGTCCCGATAGGTTTCGGTACGGATTTCCATAGGAAGCTACTATCCGAGTTTCTGTCATACACGAGCACTCGTATAACAGTGTTCGCCACAGTACTCGCGCCCTAGCTGCTGATTTCGGTCAGACGATTGTATAAGTGTTTCTCGGCATCTTAACTCCGACATTTATAAGCAATTGCTTACTAAAATCGCCTCCCAACTCGGAGGAGAGGGAGGAGCAATCCGCGAAAATATGACTTCTTCCGTGATGTTTTAACGAAAGGGTATATATGGACGGGGCCTAAACTTATATTGTGAGAGTGCGAAGATCGAGGTTAGGGTTCCTTCCCACCTTGAATTCGGACGGTAGAAGAAAAGCCCCAAGTTCATCATCCTTCTCAAAAAAAAGGAACGCGGGGCACGGATCAACCAAATCCTGCAACGCTCCCGCGAAAAAAAAAAAAAGATTGCGGCTCTGAAGATCAACAACTACCCCGCCATTCCTCTCCAAAATCCTAAATTTACTAGACCACCTACCTCGGACTAATCATCTCCCCCCGCTCCTCGCCCTCCAAGCGGTTAAAAAAAAATGCCAGCAAACACAAGCGCAGATCACCCAGAAGGCCTTGAAGAAGCCACGATAATCAACCCAGACGAAGCCGAAGAGGTTGTCGAGGACGCGGACGGCGATGTACCCATGGACTCGGATAGTGATGGCGACGAGCCAATGGAAGTGAACCTGGTAAACGACGCAAAGGCCTACTTCGACAAGCACGGCGAGTCCGTATTCTCCATCGCCGCGCACCCAACCGATAAATCCATATTCCTCACCGGCGGTGGCGACGACTTAGCGTACATATGGACACCGGACCAGGTTCCTACCGACCCCGAAGAAGCCAAGATAACCCCACGGGAGGGGAAAGTTATCGCCCGCCTGACAGGGCATAAAGACTCAGTCTCCGCTGCGGCGTTCCTAGGACAAGCTGGTCAATTCGCTGTGACGGGAGGACTGGACGGGAGACTACAAGTCTACGACGCCGCGCAGAATTGGAGAACGGTGGACGAGGTGCAGGAGATAGAGGAGGTGAATTGGATATCCGCCCATCCGAGCGAGGTTGGCTTTGCGTTGGGCGCGAATGACGGCTCTGTGTGGGTCTACTCCGTCGATCCCGGTGCGGGGAAACTCACGATTAAGCAAGTGTTCACTTCGCATACGGCGTCGTGCACTGCGGGTGTTTGGGCTTCGGATGGGAAGCTGCTAGTAACGGTGTCTGAAGATGGGAGTTTCTACGCTTGGGATGTGGATGCTGGGAGGTCTGTTGTTGCGCTGACGGCGGCGGATCAGCGGTTTGCGGTTGAGGGGGGACTCTACTCTGTCGCTCTGAGCCCCTCCGGCTCTGTCGCTGTTGTTGGCGGGGCGACGGGGGAAATGCGTGTTGTTGGAATGCCCACTTCACAAGCTGCCGCGGGGGCACGCAGGACCGCTGGAAGACCGCAGGCCGGGGGTGGAGGATCAACTGGTGGTGGACAGGCAGGCCAGATCCTCGCAGCATTGCACACACACACTGAGAGCGTCGAGTCACTCAGTTTCCATCCTACGCAGCCACTACTAGCCTCCGGAGGAGTGGACGGCAGGATCGTTATCTACGACGCCGGCCGCGGATACCCGGTTCGGAAAACCTTCGGCGGGGAAGGCGGCCACTATGAAGCCGTTGTCAAAGTAGAGTTCGCAAAGATAGATGGGTGGATCTTGACCAGCTGCGGTGTCGACGGCACAGTGCGGCGGTGGGATGTCCGCGCTGGGACTGAATTGTCATGCTGGAAGGGTCACCTTGGTGGGAATGCTGCGGAGGGCGAAGCTGGTGTATTGGGATTTGTACAGACTCCGGAGAGGATTGTTACGGCTGGTGATGAGTATGTTGCCCTTTTGAGCGTCTTATCATTTCGACTGTAGGGGATGGAGCACATGCTAACAATATATACGACAGTGGTGTCGCCTTAGTCTTTGAGGGGGTGGGTGGTGGGGGGATTGTAGCTCCTACGATTGCTGGTGCAGCTTTAGGGTAAGGGCATGTAATCTAATTCAAATGTAAAATAAACGCCACATTAGACCTTGAGCGTATCTCAATATTGGGGGCCTTCTTTTGTGATTCTTTTGCCCACGCTGGGTCTTTGAAGCCCCCATCCGTCACATCAAAAATCTCACAAGTCTCCAAATTTCCTACCAGCGATAAATACTGTAGGCCCTCTAACATAGCCCCCCGGAACCGCGCCAAGTTTTTCCTTAGACTAGAACGGGAGCGGTCATCGGCCTCTTGATTCACATTCCGCCCATCTCCCTAGTGATCCGCCCTGGCCCAGATATAACGGCAGCTTCCGTACACACCAACGCACCCCAAAATCACAACCTTAGCCACAACCCGTCGGCAAACCCCACCCAGCATATGCAACCCGGATCAACGATATAGATTATTATCATAATCTTGGATAGATACCATACAACACAGTGTCGCGAAGTCCATATTAAAGACATTCATTCACATCACCGGACAAACCAGCAAGCAAACAATGTCCTCCCCTCTCCCCCCCGCGCGCGCACGCACAAGCTCGGCGGTTGACTATCACAGGTGAAACTATGATAAATCCCAAGCCCAACCTGAAAAAAAATAATGACAAAACCCCCCTCTACACCTCTCCATCGCCCGAGCTCATGCCAAGCCAACCAACCTAAGGAACTGTACTCGTACTCGTATAGTATCGTACCCGCCCTAACATTACGCAGACAAACATACCGTACCGGTATAATACTGTACCGCAAAACACGAGCAAGTCAGGGTAAGGGGAGGGACGGTACCACCGATACCCAGAGCGCGCGGAATAAACGCCGGTACTCTCTCGATCTGCGGGATTACTTGTAGTCGCTGTGGTAGTCTAGTGGTGTCATCGGGGGGCAGTGCGAATGTGGTGGGTACGTAGGCTTTCGCTTGATCTAGACCGCCTACTCGAGTGATATCTAGTGATACCACCCACCCTATATGGGAGAGAACAAACAATTGTTCGCATCTATCCATCCATCCGCCTCTCTCTCTGAAAAAACCCCACTCACCCCTCCCCTCCCAAGGATATAAACATTTACCAGTCCCGCCGCTTTTGCGTAGGTGGGTGGATGTTCGGGACCTGCACGGCTTCATTGGCGATATGCTGTACTTTACTGTACTGCACTGCACTCCACCCAACCCACCGCCTCATCTATCGAGCAACAGATGCGGGGGGGCGAGCGGGTAAACTAGCGCAAGTCATCGAGGCATCTGAGGATCGTGGATATTGGAGTGTGGCGGTGGGTGAAGTGAGTGAGTGTGGGTTGCGATGGTACTCGTACTGTGAGGTGATGCAATGGCTGGAAGGGCTCGTGGAGAAGACTCCGGAGGGGGGGGGAGGCGGGGATTGACTTGCTTGGCGGGGGGAGAACAATGTATCATATAAGTATGGTATTGTAGGAACGGGTACGATATGCATCTGTGTATGATAAAAGATCCAAGGATTCCGGAAACCGTTGTGTGAAAGAAGTTAAAAAAATGGATTGCCTTGTAAGTTAAGGTTTCCCCCCACCATCACCACTTCAAATAGAGACCTCATAACCGGCCTTATTCCTTCTTATAAACAAATTCGGTGAATAAATTTTTTTTTTACGCCGACACAATCGAATCTACCCCCCCCCCACTCTCTCTTCAATCGTATCGTGCAAGTAAGTACGCATACACCTTCCCATCACAACAACAACCTATTTTCCCTGCCATAAAGTACAGTATCAAAAAAAACCAAAAAAGTGCAAATCTAGAAAGTACTGCCTTAACCCATCCTCACGAAAGAAAAAAAAAACACCCCATCCCTTCCATCCCTCCCCCGATCTGGGGGAAGGGAGAAAGGAAGGAAGGAAGGAGGCGACTGGCCCTACCTACCTACCCAACCTGCATGCTATCGTACAATTGCGCAATACGGTACGGGCGGACAGAAATATGAAAGATCCACCGCCACCGGTTGTGCGCAACCTAGAAATGAAAATAAGGAAACTCGGGACTAAGCTTTTTTTAATTTTTAATTTTTTTTATTTTTACCCCCCCCCGTTTCGGAGGTCGGTTGTGCGTGCCCGAGTTAGAAATTATCATTATTGTTGTTACTATTTTCACTTTCTCTGGGAGACTGGATGGTGCGTGCTGTGATGCAGGGCGAGCTGGATGGGAAGGAAGGAATGGAAGATTTCTTGATTCTGTTGTATTACTGTACCAAACTATTGCGGAAGTAGTTGGGGGATGATCATCCTAGGAAGGTGGGGGAAGTTGTTGTGATGGTTGTGATGATGATGATGATGATAGTGGTGGTAAGTGGTGTTGGTGAATTATGGTGTTAGAGGCTGAGAAAGGAGAAAGTAAGAGAGGGTTATGTTACGATGGCTATTGGAAGAGTACTGAAATGGTAAGTACAAGAGACCAATCGGGATTCCGGGTTTTTTTTTCTTTTCTTCTCTTTCTTTGGAAATTCCCTTTTAGAGAAAGGGGAGAGGAAGAGGGAAAGGTGAGATGAAAATGGAATTGAGATAAAAATGCCTGATATGATGAGCAATCTATCCACAGGCCCATGTCTGTTTGTTATATTAAGCTTTTGGTTGGTCTGCCTTGCCTAGTCCGTCTGGGACACAAGCACCACAGCAGTAAATGGTATCATAGCTCTCTCCGTACGATGGTTCTACTGACTGCCGGTGCAGTAACTGATTAACAACAGCCTTCAGAACCCAGATAAAAATTCTCCTCAAACGAACAACAAAAAGCGACAATGAACTATTAGTAGTACCGGCACCGGTAATGTGAAGCAATAACTTACGGTAAGCCAAACAAACCTCCTGTTTTATCCCTCCCAAATCAAGAAAAGAAAGAACACATCCGCCCACCTTACTCTCATCCCCGCATCCCAAATCCGATCCCACAATCCAAGCCATGCCAACTCCGAAGACAAGCATACAATCCTATCAAGGAAAAAAGTCAAAAGTCAACTTTAAACCCCGACCCGATCCAACGCGACGTCACAGCTGGTCTGTTGTAGATCACCCATTGGCCCCATACATCCCGACACACGCATTATGCACAGCACAGGACAATTAACTTGACTTGGATTCATTTCACTTGGGATCTCGTGGAGCCTTGCAGTGAAAAGCATAGCAACTAGTAGCGGGGCGGGGTGTTGGGAGCGGATGTTTGATCTGTTTTTGCTCGTATTATTGTAGAGCGGTTAACTTGGTTGGCCAATTCCTTTTGGGGGAGGTGTTCCCATGCTCCTGGCACGGGGTGCGATTTTTGGATGAGATGGGGGAAAGTAGAGTTGGGTAGGGTAGGGTAGGGTGTTGTACGTCACGATTTTTGGGTGCTGTTATCGCGCCGTGTTTGGATTTTGAAGATTTTAGGGATGTAGAGGAGGGAAGGTACTATACAAGTAAGTAAGCGAGTTCCATCCCTGGCGGCCCAAGGGTGGATGGATCGATGGATAGAAGGTATTCTTCGAGATTGCGACTCTAATTCTCGGTTCTCTCTCTTTCCGGGCGAGCGAGAGAGGGAGTTACGGTACTCGAGCAGTAGGGGAAATACTACCATAAACGTTCCAACTCCTGCTCCTCCTATACGGACACTGGCATATTCACGTACCATCACTCGAACTTGGAGTCGAGTTAATGGAGCGGGTCTCGGTCTTCTTCCTTCGTTTTTCCGTTCTGCCTGGCCCTCGTGCATTTCCCCGAGACGTGGAATTTACGGTGGGAGTAGCGAGGCCCCAATAAGTTAAACTTGTGTTATGCTGTACTGCTATGATGTACTCGCCCTGTAGTCTGCGAGCATGGTCATAACATAATGCCATGTTGAGCTCTTCTGCTTCACTTACCTACTCCATACCCCACTGTAGCCCACCATACTCATCCATATCCCGATCGGCAAGGACGGGTCCCGGACCCGGGGACAGGGCACATTTGGATGGGGGATCCCTTCCTTTCAATCAATCAATCAATCAATCGAATCCTTGAAGTGGGAGACAGGGTGAAGGGGCAGAGTATAGTCTACACACTTTGACTTTGGTCAGTGACTTTTTGATCCCCCTTCACCACCACCAAAAAATTTCCATGACAATTTACGCAAGATATGGTACCACCTGTAAGGTGGAAAAAAGGGTGATCAACACGCTAATTGGAGATCAATCCAAAATGTTTCTTCTTAAATCTTTTCTTCTTTTCTTTTTCTTACTTTTGCTGAGGGTCCCCGAACCATGGGCTGTGGCACCCTAGACTAGTAGTCTGACACCAGTCCCGTACGAGTACTGCAAAGTACTGTACAGTACAAATACTGGTAATAATAATAGGTGGATGGTTCCCCAACATTCGATTTTCCTTGTCCTTTGTGAACGATTTCCCATTGAAATTTATTGATTATTTATTTTACCTATTCCCATGGTTTGGTTTCGCCCCCCCGCTTGCTAGCCATACTCTCTCTCCCTCACCCACTTCCCTACTCGCTCACCCACCCCGTGTGCTTGCTTGCTTGCTCGTTGGGGGGAAAGGAGAGGAAAAAGGGAAAACAGGTGCAAAAGGTCACTTGACAGTGCTGGTGTCAGTTATTTTTGTTGCTTTTTTCTTTTCTATTCGTTTTCTTACATAACCCGGCTCCATCGCTTTTATTTGAAATTCTTATTTCTTTTTGCCAAGAGGGCTGTAGGCGATCGCTCTGGGTCGGTCCTCTCAGTCACCTCGATCACTTGTTGCTCCTCGACTCCGCTTTCAGAGGGCATCCTGGCTCCTTAGTAGTCCTTTTTTGATTTTTTTCCCGTCTGTCTATCGGTGTGTCCACTCGCTTGATCTGATCTGATCTGATCTGTGTGAGCGAGTGGTGAGCCAAGTGAGCAAGCTACGTTGCGTCTGTGTCTCGTTGCCTGCCCCACTTTAGACTTGAGGAGAAAGGAAGAGAGGGAGAGCGGAGAGTGAGCGAGAGAGAGAGGAAATACTGGTAGAGAAAGAGAGAATACGGTGACAGCTGTAGTATTGCTTCTTAACTAACTCCTCCACATTCATTTATTCCTTATTGTCGTTCACGATATATATTGCGCGAACTGTGCAAGGGGAGAGCGGAAGAGAGAGAGGTCGTTCTGCCTGGTTGGTAGTTGTATTGCTGGTTATTATTCCCGCCTGGAAGAGGGGGGGAACACAGCTACCATTCTGTACTGTACTGCCAGTGTTATCACCTACACGCCGTGGTGTAGCCACCGGTACTCACATCACAACCGCAATCACCTCCGCTCTGCCACCCAGACCTTTCCGTACCACTACCTACCCTCCCACCACCACCACCACCATAAACGATATACGGTACCGTCATCCACCCTACCTTACTAAACCCACGACATATCATACTAACTCACCGTCTCCGTCGCCGCCCGTCACGGTCAGTCTCAGCGCCCCGACCTCATCAACACACCCCCCCACCACCTTTCCTTCCCCTCCGCGGTCCAAACATTAGTTCACCCGTGCCCCACACAAGAACGTACATATCGCAAAAAATGTCTTCGTCTGGACAGCACCCTCACGGGCACTACCATCACACCCACAATAACCATATACCCCCCCACCACCTCCAGGCACAGCAACACCAGCAACAACTCCTCCACAGAAACAACGCGCCAAACAACAGCTCCTCCCCCGCCATGCCATTCCTGCCAACGGCACCGTCGGCGCCATCCTCGTCCTCCTCGTCGCCTGCTGCAGCGGGAGAAGATATCGAGCGACCCCAGAAACGCCAGAGGACTTCGGCATCGTCGAATCTTTCGCTAACCCCTAGATTACCCCCTCCCGTTAATGTTGCTCCTCCTCCGCCGCCGCTCTCGCTGCACAGTAGGGTTAAGGAGCAGCAGCCTCAACAGCTGACTCTTCAACAGCAGCAGCAGCAACAACAACAACCCCCACCACCGGCGGCTAGTAGTTCGAGCGTACCATTCATGAGGGTTCAAGAACAGGGCTCATCAGAAACATTTGCCCTACCGTTAGCAGCGGTGCAAAATTGGGATGTAAGTTTATTATCATCACTACAGGATTATACGTTCTACTCGCTCCTATCATCGTCATCACCAGTCATCAACCACAATTTAGCTCAGCCCGATCGACACGCTAACAGTTTTTCCCTTTTTTACACAACTAGACATTAGTGACCCTCCTCCGAGACCTGTTCTCTAAACCCCCGCATAGCACGCCAAAACTCAAAACGCACCGCGGCGACACAATCATAAAACCGTTAATAAAACATTTCTTGAAAGACAACGTTCACTTGATCGTCACGTTTGACGACACCCCAACGCCTCCGAACTCCCAAAGCTCGGTGGCGAACGGCCTCGGCGGGTTCAACGGCATCAATGGGAACAGCAATGGAGCCCCCCCAACCCTCAACACGGCAAGCTCAAACATGAGCAACCACAGCCCAACCTTCAGCAGCCTAAACCCAAACAGCCAGAACCCGCCGACACCTTACAGTCCCCCAATCCACCACCATCACCACCACCACCACAATCAATCCTCCTCAACCTCAAACGCAAGCAACGCCAGCGAGTCACCACTGCAGGCCATCGCGGCCCTCTCCTTCCCCCCACAACAACAATCCTCCCAACCCCAACAACCCCAGCCCTCACAATCCCAATCCCAACCGCAACCGCAGCCCTCCCAATCTCAATCCCAACAGCAACAACAACCCCAGCCCCCACAACTAACCACATCCACCTCCAATACCTCCACCACATCCCTCCCGCCCGGCGCCGGCGGCGGCTCCATCCCGGTGTACAAGATGTCTCGGACACTCTCCACCGTCGCGGGCCTCTGGCAGGAATGGGGAACGGGCATCAATGGCTCACCCTCGGTCGAGTCGCTGGAGACCAGGTACGGACCCAAGTGGCGCACCAGCCAGGCAGAGCGCAAGTTTTATTCCAGGCGGAAGGTCATCATCGAAGAGATCACGAAGCGCATCGCAGCCGGCATGGATGCGTGTAGGGCCGTGGATGAGGTGGAAGCCATGCGCGGCGCAAAGAGTCTGGATGGGCTGAGTAAGATGATCGTCGAGAGGAGGAAGGGAGGGAAGAGGAGGAGTGGTGTTGGTGGGGGGCCGGGAGGTGGGGGTGGGGGTGGGAATAGTCAGGGTCAGGAGGAGGACGGGGACGAGGATGATGGCGGTTGGTAGCTAGTTTTTCTCTCTTTTTCTTTTCTTTTCTTTCGGGGATTTATACATTTCTTACTTTTGCGCTTTACTTTACTACTTTGGCTGGATGGATGTGTGTTATCACTCCTCTCTCCTCTCCTTCTCTTCACCTCCGTTTACATAACCATACATCCCCCTCACCCTCCGATCATATACCCAACCGACCAACAAAACATCACAACCGCAAGGACAATCTCCACCTTCCCGAATCGGGGGGCGGGTAGCGGGAGGACGGGAAAGTCTTTTTTCCTCCTAGCAAATCTAAATCCATTCTCCTTCAGCGTGCGTTCCTTCTCGACTCGGGGGCCCCCTTCATACTAAATTTCTTTGTTTCTTTTCGTTTACACGACTACACTTCCATTTTTTCTTTTCCATTTTTTTCCCCTTTGTTTCCTTCATTTCTCTTGCATGCGCGTTGGCCCACCTCGATTTCTATCCTTCCTATTTCTTCCTTCCCACTTTCTTTTTCGCTTTGGTTCGGATATGCGGTTTTATGGGCGGACGGATTGCAGCAGGGCAGGATTGTTGTGTAGCCTTCAACGAATTTGATTTTTATTTTTTTTTATTTTTGGTCGTATTTGAACTCTTTTCTTTCTGGACTAATTATTGTATGTGGGTAGGGTAAGGCTGCCACAACTACTCCTACCACTCTACTGCTATTACTGCTTTATACCAAAATGTTTGAAGGAACAATTGCTGGATCGGATCCAGGTTTTTCTTTCTCTCGCTGTCTATCCCTCCGAAGTACTCATGAAAATAGACGATGATAAAGATCCTCTCAACCCCCACCCCTCCGTCTGGGTACTATGTGTAGGTAGCAAGAGGTCAGGCGAGCGACCATGAGGGTAGGTGAGTGAGTGAGAAAATGAACGTTAGCGCACATCCGGCCCCAAGGATGAAACAAGCCACAACACCACCACCACCACACACCAGGTGAGTTATATTTGAAACATACAAAACCACAAGTTTGAGAAATTTCCAAGAAAAATTGAAACGAAAGCGAGATAAAAAGTACAAGGTTATTCATGAAAGACATGATGGTGACAGTAATAGAGGCCCGACCTTAAACCATGGACGACAAAATATGACAAAAAGAAAAGAAGGTGCCAGAATATCCTAGTTTAAATACAGCTGGTGAATTGATCTTCACCGAGACCTGTGCGATCGTGATTCCTTTCCTCAAATGGATGGGAGGAAGGTCCGGAACAAAGTGGCCGTCCCAGAAAGTAAAACAGAAAAACCCCAATGGAAACCCCGGGAACCTAAAAAAAGAGGATATGTATCGTATAAAAGAAACACAAGTCCATATCCACGACCTGTCCACGACTACATGTCTTCAAAAAAGTTCTGAAGAAGGCTGGCCTCATCTGCTCCGTCGTGTGTAGCCTCCCCGGCTCCACCCGCTTCGTCGTACATAACCTCTTCACAGCTTAACAAAGTGCCCACGGATGTTGGTACCTTGAGAAGTAGCAAAAGAACGAAATTGCTGAGGGACGTTCGGTCCATCATCCAGGAAAAAAGAGGCTGGCCAAATGAGTGCAGGCCAACTAGATATTCAAAATAGCATGGCCAAGGGAATTTAGGGCACCCTAGGGTCCATAGACGGGGGAATGAAAAACACCTGGGCGCGGATTCCAAGGATAGCAGATCCGGGAATAATGGCATTCATGGTAAAATTTCTCCTAAGGCAAACCCGGGTCCGGACTTCCAGAGATACTATATTATCCGTTTGGAACCAGAGGAAGTTCGCTGAGGTGGAAATCCGGCGCCGCCAGAAAATTTGGTGAATAAAAGCAAACACTTCCTTCCCAGTCAGGCCAGGTAGGAATAAAGAAAAAGTAAAAGAAAGTGGTAGGGTTGTGAAAATGAAGGTAGCCCTCAAAGTTGGCTGAGCAGTATCATGGAAATTGTGAACTTGGGTAATGTAACTTTTTTGTCCAGAGGCCTCTGGATCCCGATAAAGAAACACCTGATGGCTTGTCAAGTTTCTTCAGAGGTCTTAATTTCGGGGGTAATAGTGGGTTGGTCCATAGTACCCTGTTGGTTCCGTGCCAGGATTAGGTTCCGTTGGACGACGGTAGGGCAAATCCGTCTCATCAGGCGCACCAGTTGGAGGTTCGTTTTGCGTGGGCCTCGTTCCCGTGGTGGACGAATTTTCCGGAGGGGGGTAAGATTGTACGTACTGCCCCGAGCTGCGGTCCCACCATTTTCCGCCCTCTGCCGAGGGTACGTACTCAAAGCGGCTACGGTCATTATTCGGAGCAGGTGGTATTCCAGGACCCGAAGGGGCTGGTTGCGCGCTATAAGGGGTTGGGTGATGGTAAGACGCTTGTCCACTACCATATTGCTGAAAAGATCCAGCAGGTGGGCCCGGAATTGGGGGGAAGGAAGGGTATGGGTGATTAGGGTTATTGCCATCTGAGTTGGTCTGTAGGCTGTCCCTGAAGGTGGCAGACCGTTCATAACCTGTCCCAGAAAATCAAAATCTTCTAATTCGAGAAAATGGTGTATCTGAATGGGAAAATCTAGAGAGACGAGAAAAGCTTACCTGGCAGCTCATGGCCTGGGTAACGGTGGGACATGAGCTCACGCTCGCTGCTCCATTTTTGGGAGTCTTGTTTTAATGACTGAACCTGGGCCTGTATAGAATACAATTAGATATGTATAAATCTTCTTTAAATGACCGGAGCGAGTATTTCATACATCTGTTAGAGGCCTGTAACCTGTGTACCAATAGCCCGGGACCCCCTAGAAAACAACAATGAGTCAGTCAACAGAGGACATCACGTGTAGTAGATGGGAAAGATATACCTTGTCCCACCCCGGTCTCGAGAGGGCATTATTCCCCAAGTACCGAGGCAAATCGGTTTGAATTACTTGTCGCTTTATGCCTTCCCCAGGTAAAAAGAAGGGGAGCATTTCTTGTCTAGACGATCCGTCATATCCCGCCCCATAGTTTGGTTGATACCCGCCGCCACCGTGCGATGTCATTTCGACGCTGGAGTGTGAAGGGGGAGAAGGGGAGTTCACTACCCTGAAGAATGTTTGGCAAGACACCGGTGCTTTTAAACGGCTGGGGGAGGGGGGTAGGGCAGTACGGGTTGTGCGGGTCGAAAGACGATGGAGTGTAGTGAAGCAGTTCCCCTCGGAAAAGAAAAGAAAGGGCTCTCAAAATCTACAGGCAGGACTGTCAGGAGATAGGTAGTAAATAAATAAATAAAAAAGGGTTCGGGAGGGAGGTGGTGGGAGAGAAGAGAAAGAGCGTGGAAGGCTGAACTGATGAGGGGTTATATGGCCATCTCGCTGCTACAACAACAGCTTTATCCATCGCTTACTTGGTGTCGGAGAACCCCCAGTCCCCCCCCGCCCAGAGGCCAAAAAAGAGGGAGGCTCAAATCATATGACATGGTCCGCGGTGAGATGCTAACTCACTTGTACGTACTGTACCGTGCTCGAGCACGGTGCGGACAGACTTACCATAGCTCTCAGCTGTCAAATCTTGCGGGGCGCTTTCCACAAAACAATGTTTCAGGTTCCCTTTAACTTCTCACTTTCATGGTAGAAAAAAAAAATGAGAGAAGGCACTCATACTATCATAGAATTAGCCGGAGCTACGCGTACTTGAGTACATCGGGTCCTTGGAACGTCTGATGCTGCTAGTCTGCTACTCGAGTATGCTGTAGAGGACACTGTATTTATGCATACTACAATCCTGTCGCGAACATGAACCTAAGTTTACTTGCATGGGAGTCAATATGCAAAGAAAATTTAGCTCCGGTTGGCCGCTCCCTTCCCGGTTCCAAGTACTCGAGTAAACTGATAGCATGTACGAGTATCCTGGGGCCTTGGCCCGGACGGTCTGAGGATGCTCATCCTATACTGGTAAGTGAGGGGTTATCTAGTGTCAAGCAAAAGCGGCGAGGCTATGGTAACTGAGGCGCGTACCCGCTGCTCATCGCACCCACATAGTCTAAAGCGCTCGCGGTTGAAATTATGGCTCCATTCGAGCCGTGCATTTCCCGGCGAGCATTGCAGAGCAAATAACTTGCACAGTGACGCTAGAGATTGCCCCCCCCCCCGGATGGGCACACCAGAAAAATAAAAAGATGGGTTTATGTATGTCGAGACGGTCCAGTACCACAGTGAGACGCAATAATGTTGGTCGCTGCTCTATCATACTCGCGCCTGTATCAATAGTGTGCGCCCAGCTTCGGGCTTGAATATACCCTCCATGCGGGGAAACGATAGGTTCGTGTCATACTACTCGAGTACACAGCTACTGCCGGTACTCTAGTACAGCACAATGAGCTCTGCGCAAGTACAGGTATGATGCTCATTTGGGATTATTAGGGCAAAAGAGCCTCACTGTCGGCACCCCTTTCCCTTGCTTTTCATCATTCATGCGAACGGTAAATGGCGGACACGAGCTTCCGGGGATATCGGGAGAGCAACTCCATTCTAGTAGCATCGATGGCCACCACAGCTAGTAAGCCGGATTCAGCTATGATACGACCGCACTCGTGAACTGTGGTCGCCGGCCAGGCTTGGGGGCGGGTGCGGCAGTCGTAAATTATAAATGCAGTCCTCTCCACTGTATTCAAGCGTCTCTCCGGGAAAGCTTGGGCTCAGTCCGGCTCGGAATATTTGTGATGTTTGAACAATATTTTACACCATAATATGATTCTCACCTTCCACTCGTCGCCTTTGGTTCCTAGGAATTTAGAAATAACATGGCGCGAAGGTTCGTGCTCGACCATTCTGTTTGCAACTGCCGGCGTTTTCTCCCTGAGTGCGCGGTACGAGGATATTGGCCCAATGATCTGAATAATCTGTGACTTCTCAATTCTCCAAGCCATGTGATTGAACGGGACTTTTGGTTGGATCCGATTCTACTTTTTGCTGCACCAATTTAATTTTGTCCTTTGGACCACTGATCCATGGGCAGCAGCCAGTATTTGAATGTCGACCACAACTTCTGCGTTGGCAGTTGGGCTTTCCGCAATGATTAAAATAAAACTAGTAATTCTCCAAACAAAGTAAGCCGAGTGGGGTACCGCCGAGAATTGCGAGTGAGACGCCTGTAATCCAGTGAAGGGTACTTGGGATGATATCTTGATCCTTTTCGAAATATTCCGAGTGATGATTCCTGACTGGTAGATTTCAGGATACTTTGAGCATAGTAATTGGCTGTGGATACCGAGTTCTTGCATGGTGACCCCCAGTTCTCCATTGCAAAGTCGACTGCAGTCCCTGAACCCCATGAAGTGGGAGTTCAGGCCTGCAGGAAGGCGCAGGTAATTCCCTCGTGTTTTTTGCGGGGAAGCATAGATTGCATGCGTACACTCGGCTCCTCATATCATATTGCCGTCCGGTCGGTGCCATCGAGCCAAACACGTCATAGGGTACTCCTTCCATTTTCACTCCGAGTCATGCACGGTCACTCGAAATTCTCGCACCTGCTGAATTCGGTGAAAAATGTTGAAAAAGCGATCTCGGGAGAGAAATTAGGTGGCGGTAATAGCTTGCGTAGGGGGTGGGGGAGGGGTTCATTCCCCTGGCTCGTGTTTTAAGGAGCTCATTGCTCGTGGTGGTTCGATCTTCCAGGGGACCCACTCTACTACCTCGACTTTGTGATTCTACGATTACCCCCACACCGCTTGCCCAGAAGGAAACGCTCAATCTGAGCTGCATGCATAGCCTCATAGGAAGACAGCGCATCAAATGCATATCGAAGGGACATTTTATGAGATGAGATTCCTTTGGAGCAAATACGTCACTTAGGAGATGGGCGCGAGTTGACTGGTGTTTGTGATATATGCGGTACTAGGTATGCATCGCGGTTTTGAATAGTCCCAACGAGCGGAATCGCAGAAAGTTAACCGCGGATTTCTTGTGTAGATGGTAGAAATTGGGCTCCTGTAGCGCATATGTGATACAGCTATACGGACGTTTTCGGGTCGCCTTCGCACCTAGACGGGGTTTTGGTATCTCGAGTTCGCGATTATCTCATGTCTGTCAATTGGAGATGTCATAGGTTTTTTTCTTTGCATACTGTGATGCATGGATGGCTCTTGGCCCTATTGCAAGAAACTTATACGGGTGCGAAAGGCATTGCGTAAGGGGCTTAAGTTGGGACACTCTTCTTCTTGAGATTTGTGTTATACTAGGGTGAGAGCGCTAATGCATAGTGGAGGTACGGTCCTTACTGTTTTGTTACAATTCGGGATGGGGGGTCTCCTGTAGCCAATTGGATATTAGGTATGGATTGACCCTAGTTAAGAAGAACGCGGGAGTGTTGAGAAAGTTGGCTGGTCATTGACGCAGAATTTGTGAGATGTTCGAAGAAAGCAGAGTTATATACGCAGTAGTCTCGTCGTGCGTTTGGCTACGAACTGATGCTCTGTACAAACCAAGCCACCTCTTCCTACGAGTCGATGAGCCTGAGGCTGGGCGACTTTCTTTCAACCCTTTACTAGAGGTTCCGGATAGAGCGCATTGGCTGCGTGAACTAGACACATGAGGGAAATGTATGGTGGAGTGCTTATGTTCCCTCCCGGTCATCAAGAGGTTGATCAAACAAAAATTATACGTTATTTGAGTTGCTAAGAGGTATTCCTACCTGTATTCTTTTATGGAATTCCACTGCTGTGGAGTTATTTGTGCCTCTGGTGGGTTGTGGAAGCTATGAGCTTGAGGTTGAAAGTAGATAGAAGTGTTCTCAAAGAATGCTGTTAGGTAATTTTTTTTAAGTATGATATCCCAATATTTCATGGGAACTTTGTTGTGCCTATTAAGGGAAATTTCCCGGAGCACATAAATCTAGTTTGGAGAGAATGTTCTAAAACTCCTTATCAGAAGCTATATGGAATGGCCAATTTGGGAACTACGGTGGGGGGTTTCGCCATGTCGGCTCAGATCCTGGATGTGTGATTTCGCTGCTGGTTTGACGAAGATCCATAGACGAGACTGGTGCTGCGAAGGGAAAGGTAGGGTCGTTTGTTGTAGTTCAAAAATACGGGATGCTGATAGCTTGAGGACCTTTCAACACTGATACTTGCACCCTTTCTTCTATTGGGCTCGGTGCTATGCCGGTTGTCTCTGAACTGCCATACCATCTTGCAAACCAGCTCTAGAGACGGTACCAGTGCCGCGGTTCATGGACTCGAATCTCTAGTTTGAGCCACTCTGAACCGGCGGCGTGGGACTCCCTAAAGCGCCCCCTTCCCTCGTGGCTGGTATATCTAATTGTGGAGGGCCAATAGTCCACTGCATCCCCTTAGACAAGTGAGCTGCTTTGTTACAGGGATAAAATGTCATATTATAGAGTAAGTTAGCCTAAAATAATGTAGGATACTATCATAGATAATCAATATACGATAATAGAGATAAAGACCAATCGATAGATCCGGTGACACCTATGCAAGTGCGGCATTTCAGCAAGAAGTAGGGTGGAAACACCAACTCTCCCCTCTCTGTAGAGTTTCTCCAAAACAATGCGAGTGACCACTCATGAATATGATGCAGCTGGAGCTAGCTCTTACCGATCTGTGAACCTTGGGCTGTCCTATCTGATTGATATCACAGGACGAGTATTCTAAAGAATGGGGCTAAGATGGTATCTGCTTGACCCGTGCCAAATACTATCATGGTCTTTGGGTGTCATTCGACAGTGGAGTATGATACAAGCTATCCCACAAGTTCTTTGGTTCCCCATCCAATATTATAAAGACAGGAAACGCAAAAAACATAACAGAGAGCTGAAGTTTAAGCAGCTGTATCTGTCTGTGCCCGTGGTAAACGAGCCATAGCCGTTCCGTATTCGGTACCGTGGGATCAGGTATTAACCCCCGAGAGATAGATAATAAATTAAACCCTTGCGGGATACTTATTAACCCCATATTAAACTATAGGTATACCATAGAAGGCTACGCTACTATATCAGAGGGCGATGCTTCAAAGTGCCTCAGAGCAGTATTGTATCTGCTCAAAAG